ACGAGGACGATCATCTTGAGTACATGTTGGAATTTGTTGAATAGCTTGCTCAATCCAGATATTTTTGTGTATAGTAGTAATATTAGAAAAAAAATGGCATTGATCATCATAGAATATTATCATCGTGACAGAAAATGACACAACAAGAAGCATTAGTAATTTTCTCTGAGGAATATTCATTTCTCAATTAGACAACGACACTTGTTACGTTTTGATTGAATTGGTTTATGAAATTATGATTGAGAGAAACTTCTAGTATCGAAAAATACTACTTACGATGTTTTAGAGCAACAAGCACGTGAAATTTAAGTTGAAGAGTAACTAGAAATGTTGACAGTATCAATACTAACTTTTCAAGCATATGTTGGCGTTTATTCAAATGTATGCACAATAATAAATTCGTAGTCAATTTTTTCTTGAGAACATATTGGGTTGATATCGATAGCAGATGTAACTAATAGCCCTGCAATACAAATAACTGATATTGACTTTACAAAAGTGCGAGAAAAACTTTTTCGATTTTACAATACTTGATAACAATCAACTTGGCATAGAATTGTTGAATTCATAGTAACAGCTGGAAAAGGAATTTATAATTATCAAGTTGAAGACACAAAAGAAATAAAATGCTAAAGCTATTTATTCTTTGATTGTTTTCTATGAATTGATTAACTAAGTACTGCCAAGTATTGACTATGGAAATTGCTTTATGCAAATACTTTTTATTTAATTCTTATGATCTAGTCTGACGGTTACTAGTAAAACAACCTCCCCAATGTATGATTTAGTAGTCATGGTTTCTTCTACTACTGTTCACTGACACAAAATGAAACAGATTTTGACTTTCGATGAATATTAAGAACAAATTTTAGGTTCGTTGCAAATTATTTTCTTGCAAAGAAGATAGTGTCATGTATACAAGATAGAAAATAAAGCAAATAATCACAATAATATTTTCTATTCTTCGAAATGTGTTTGATTGTGATCATGATAATCAATCAATGAGAAGAGAAAAGAAACAGAACCAGAAACATATGTGAAGCTATTGCAAATATTCTGTTTGAAAGCAACAACCGTTTTCTATTCATGATGCAAAAACCAAAATTAACAACATAAAATTGATTATATGTAGATTGACATAAGACATAAACATTATCACCTATTTGAAAATATATAATACGAATAATGTCGAAGAATCTACATAAGGACATTATCAAGTACAAAACTTGTTACTTTTCTTGATGTGAAACACAAAAGGAGAGATATTAGTTTTATTTTGATAAAGTCTAATAAATCTCGAATTAATCGAAGACAAGTTTTTGGTTTAGAATGATTGTAACTCAAAATTCTCATTAAGATTCCTCGTACTAGTATGTAAATTTCATCGATAGGTAGTATTACTGTGTTTAACATTGTGCTCTTAATAGGATTTCTTTCACTAATGAGATTGAATAGTCTTAGCAGATGAAGATTTCAAACAGACTTTTCGAAAATTATGATACGAAATAATGCTTCATCTATGAAGATCATTACCAATCAGGTACAAATAATAACTTATTAATAAAAAATCCATTTTCGAAGCAAATGTATCACAGAACAATGTTTATTGGCATGAATAACAAAAGTAAGTGTAAGGCAGAAGAGAATTGAAGTTGAAAAATGTCAACAGGAATATTGTTGTTTAATATTAACTTTAATCTCTAAATTGAAAAAAAAACGAATATCGATTTTATTTATTTCTATTTGAATCATCATCAATTGAACTTTCAGTGAGTAATTTTGCATCAAATTTTGTTGTAACGCTTGAACCATACATGATTGCTACTATATGGTTTTCCAGATTCTAATGGACACAAGACTATAATCTCACTAAAATAACATGTTTCTAATGGATATGTCAAACTGCTACAATAAAATAATCAAGTAGAATGGAAATCATAGACTGTTCAATTTTTCTAACTTGTTTGCATAAAGTGAATTAAAATCATAAGTGTGATATATATGAACATCATATTTGCTTTTTAATAAATAAATGTTGCATTAAGTTGTTTTTTTTCAACAGAAGCTAAAACATAATAGCATTCCTCTAACTGAGTTATGACATCATATTTAAACGTATATTCTAGCTGTTTATCTTTGAAACACGGTTTTTGTTTACCATGTTCATATAACAAGTGATCCGTAAAACGTAAGACAATTTTAGTTCTCTTTCTTCAAGCATAAAACAGAATTTATGTAATGAAAAATTATAAATATCTGACAATTTCTTTAACGACTATGCCAAATACGCATGTAACTACAATCTTCTCTTTTCAAAAATCATATCTCCATCGGTATAACCATTGTAGTATTTAAGTTTCAAAGTTACAAGAAATATTTGTGAAAGGATGTTTTTTCAAATGCAAATACAAATTTATGTTTCAAAAGTTATTTTATCAAGACATTATATATGATGTTCACTTGTGAACAAACTATGTAAGTAATAATTAAACCAGATACGCTGTCTGATTGTTTCAAAAGATGGTAATAGTGAAGTTTCTTTGTTAGAAAAGTGCATTGTTCAATATTTGAAAACGACTTACTTTCGAAGATTCTGTTGAAGCAAAATCTAATCTTAAGTTTTACAGAATACATGAAATTTAAATGATCTGTTAAATAAAAATATTGATTCAATTCGAATACCTTCTGTTCTATCTAAACAACAGTAGATCATAGATTGAAAAATTGATTCTCGGATGATGAGAGATGTCATGTTAGAGTTGATAGTCATATGAACTAATACAAACCATTATATTATTAGATTTAAGTTTAACTTTTAATATTAATTGTTAAGTGTCAGCAATTTTTCAATATTAATATTGATATCAAACCACAGATATTATTGAAGATTTCAAATTCTAACTCAAAAATCTCAAAACAAATCCAAGAAAAGACATAGATATAAGCGTAGCTTTCACGACTCTCAGTTCGAAATCAGCAAAGACTAAGAATGCAATAAGTTCTAAATTTTATCAGCGTTGAAAAAAAAATCATTCAAATGTTCAATTAGTAGTAGTTTTGTCTAAAACCTTATTATTAAATACTAATTTTAAAACAAAGCCAAAGAAGAAAACACCATCATGATACTTTTCACTACTTGATCATGGTCAAAAACTCGAAATTGTCTATTAGATTAGGTAGATATTATTGCCTGGATTTGTTCTTCTTGTGTTAATGATTGTACACCCATCTACCATTAACACATTTTTTATTGGATGTTGTTATAGCATAAGAACCATACAAAAATGCTACGAGTTTTTCAGGTTCTGCTGGGCATAACACTTTTATATCACTAAAATAACATATTTTCAATGGATATGTCCAACTTCTCGGATATGAAAACCATTTATATTTGATATCATAGATTGTTAAATTTTCTGATTGTATATTTTCTATTGATTTGTTTGCATAAAGTGGATTAAAATCATATGCAGGAAATATATCAACATGATATCTCGTTTGTCGATGAAATAATCTTGCATTAGGTTCAATAAAATTAATACCTTGTTCAAGAAGATAAGAACGATGAGTGTCATCGACGATATGCCATTGTGGTTGAACTTTAATTTCATAATCAGAAGAAAAATTCATGTGAGAAATATTAATTAGTTGTGGGGTATCATCAGTCATCATTATTATATCAATATCATGATCATGTGGTAATAATCCACGACGTTGAACATAACCAACAAGTGTTCCATATGATATCCAATA